GCGGGCCCAGAAGCGGAGGGAGTGCGGCCGTCATGGCTGCCGGCCCAGGAGGGGACGGACGGACGGACAGGGCGGAGGGGGCGGGCGGAGAGCCCAGCGGAGGAAGGGGAGAGCAGTGGTTGATAATGAATAGCGTTACAGGTGCAAGGGGAGATTGTTATTGTTTTTGTTGTTATTTATTGGTTCGCTTGTTTTTCAAGGCGAGAGTCTCCGCTTAGAGGCTGAGGGAGAGCCTCCGCGGGAGGGAGGCTGCGGCTGGAGGAGGCTGTGCCAGGGCCGGCGTGGAGCGGAGGGGCTGGCAGAGGGGCTCGCCTTGCGGAGGAGAGGGGGAGGGGAAGCGGGATGGATGCCCATGTGGGAGGTGGCGGCTGGGCCGTGTGATGGCCGCAGTTTCCTGAGGAAGAGGAGACATTGTCTTCTGAGAGGGAGGGATTTGTGGGCGCACAGAGGGTGAGAGGGGCTCCCAGAGGGCGGGGAGCTGGCCAAGGCCGTTAAAGGCCGTCCTCCATCCAGGGCTCCGCGGGGGCAGATTCAGGAGTTTCCGAGGTGACTGCGGGGGTGAGTTTCTCCCTCCGCACACCAGCCACGGGCGGAGGCCACGGAGCCAGGGCTGAGAACGCTGGAAACGCTGTGACACGGCCTTTCCCCCAGAGGGACTGTCGTTTGAAACGGTCTAACCAGCGGCATGCGCACCTGAGGAGCGTTGTGTACTCTGTGCACCGAGAACACTCAGAAATGCGGGGAGCTGCCTCCATCAAGGGCTGTGACCTTGGGGGGCAGCCCAGGCAGCACCCGTGGGGTGGGGAGATCCTTCCGGACAAAGACAAGGCCCGAGGAATAGCACGTTAGGAAATGGCAGGGCATTCGGGGCCCGGGAGGGAGGGATGGGCAGAGGTTTGGGTCAGATTGTCACTATTTGGATTTATTCTGTGCCCCGATAGAGAATTCCTGAAGGGTTTTGAATGTTGGTGACATTCATTGTAATGATAGTAACTTCCAGGGGAGGCTCCTGTTCCAGGTGCTGTGTTAGCGTTTGTGGTTACCTCACTTACTCTGTCACCCTCCCCTGGTCCGGGAAGTAGGTCTCCCATTATCCCCACCTGCCGGCTGAGGAAGCGGGTGGAGCAGAGCAGGTGACTGATCAGGCCCTCAGCCAGAGGGTGGCTGGGCTGGGAACGCAGCCCAGACCTGCTTGACTCGGAACGCGCTCCCGTAAAACGCTGCGTTCTGGTTAGAGGATAGGCCTGGGGTCTGGGAGGGTGCGGCGTACCATCCGCTCCCACCTTCCTTTCCTCAGCTGCAGCTGGGGTGGTGAAAGGGGGCTCGGGAGGGAGGGCCCAGGAGAGAGCTGGGCGCGCACCCCAGAGGCCTTGGCAAGGGCAGCCTGGCCCGGATGCTGCAGACACCCGGAGCCGGCGGCACCGTCATCGGCTCCGTCATCGGCTCCGTCATCGTGGGGCAGGTCAGAGGCTTAGCAGCGCAGTGAGCAGCCTGTGCCCTCCTTCCGGAGGAATGTGCCCGGGCGGGATGGTCTGGAGGAGCGGGAAGAAGGGCAGGCCCTGGCTGGCCAGGCCCACCCGCCTCGCCTCGCCTCGGCCTGCCTGGGCGCTGGCAGGACAGAAGCGGCCCTGTGAGGAGCTCGGACACGGTGAGCACTCGCTCTGGGTGGGTTGGGCCTCCCAGGCTGTACGTGTCTTAACTCAGGAGTTTCTCACCTGCGACAGAGCGGGACTGAAGCAGGAAAGTCACCTGCTGAGGGCACAGGGCCACGTGTGACGGCCCGGCCTGCGGCCAGCGCTGCCCGGGAGCTGGGCTTCGGGTCGTGCGTGGCTGCGGCCGTCAGCCTCCTGCCTGTGAGCCCAGAGCCGGCCTTCGTTCGCCTGAAGAAGGGGGCAGGAAACAGCCCCGGCGGCTCGCTGTCCTCAGAACCGGTGCCCCCGGGGAGGCCGAGCTCCACTCACCGTTCTCCGGACGCAGAGGGGATCGGTCAGAAGAAAAGGGCCAGCTCTTTCGGAGGGTAGAGCTTTAGAGCTGGATATGTGAGGTGGTCTTGGAAAGAGTAAGTCTCTAGAGAATTTATTTTTACTTTAAAATACATATATTTTTTATTGATGTCAGAGAGGGAGGGAGAAGGAGAGGGAGAGAAACATCAATGATGAGAGAGAACAGTCCATCCGCTGCCTCCTGCATGCCCTCTGCTGGGGATCGAGCCCACAACCCAGCAAGTGCCCCGATGGAGAATCCAACTGTGACTCCTGGTTTATTGATGAGAGAGAGAGAGAGAGAGAGAGAGAGAGAGAAAGAGAGAGAGAGAGAGATAGAGGGAGAGACATTAGTTAGTTGCCTCTCCCACTGGCCCCAACGGGACCTGGGGAACCTGCAACCAAGGTACCTGAGGAATTGAACCCACGACCCTTTGATCGCAGGCTGACAAGGCTAACCATTGGGCATCTGGCCAGGGCTTTTATTTTTACACCAGAGGCCCAATGCATGGAGATTCCTGCAAGAATGGGCCTTCCTTCCCTGGCTGCCGGACCGCCTTCACTCTGGCTGGAGCCCCGTTTCCGCTCGGGCCCGGAGCTGCCTTTTCACCCTCCCAGGCTGCCCAGAGGCCCGGAGCGGTGGGGGTGGTGCGGAACGCCTGCATGGTCACCATGGTGCCTGTGTATGCTAATGAACCCACCATCTTTGTTGGGTTAATTTGCATACACACTCCTGATGGCTGGTGGATGTCTCGAAGGTATGGTCACTTAGCATGTTACTCTTTTATTGGTGTAGACCTATGGTCGGCAAACTGTGGCTCATGAGCCACATGCGGCTCCTTGGCCCCTTGTGTGTAGCTCTTCTACAATACAAAATACCACGGCCTGGACGAGTCTATTTTGAAGAAGTGGTGTTAGGAGTTTAAGCTTAAAAAATTTGGCTCTCAAAAGAAATTTTAATCATTGTACTGTTGATATTTGGCTCTGCTGACTAATGAATTTGCCAACCAGTGATGTAGGGGCCCAGTGCACGAATTCATGCATCTTGAAAGGAACTGTGGGCCGCAGTGGGCACAGGGGCAGGTCTCGGCCCATCCTCTGCACCCCTGCCCGGCCCCTCCTGCCACGGCCCCCTGTCCCGTCTGCTGGCAGCCCTGCTCCCTCTGCTGCTGCTCCCACATGCTGACGGCGCTGGCCCCGCTCACACCTGCTGACAGCGCAGAGCGATTGGGGCCGGTGCCAGCAGCAGGTGCGAGCAGGGCTGGCGCTGTCCCGATTGCCCCTCAGGAGCAGGGGGAGGTGGAGAAGAACTCGGGGGCAATCGGGCCAGCAGCTGCTGCTCACACTCACTGATGGCACCACGTGATCAGGACCAGTGCCGGGAGCCAGCAGAGGGTGTGAGCGGCGGCTCCAGCTCTGGCAGTGGGTGTGAGCAGGGCAGGCAGCGGGTGGGAGCGGGGCTGGCACCGGTAGCAGGTGTGAGCGGGGGCGGGGGGGGGGGGCTGGCAGCGGGTGGAGCGGGGCAGGCAGCGGGTGTGAGTGGGGCTGGCACCGGTAGCAGGTGTGAGCAGGGGGTGGGGGGGGCCGGCAGCGGGTGGGGGGGGGGCAGGCAGCAGGTGGAGCGGGGCAGGCAGCGGGTGTGCGTGGGGCTGGCACCGGTAGCAGGTGTGAGCAGGGGGTGGGGGGGGCAGGCAGCGGGTGGGGGAGCAGGCAGCAGGTGGAGCGGGGCAGGCAGCGGGTGTGCGTGGGGCTGGCACCGGTAGCAGGTGTGAGCGGGGGAGGGGGACAGGCAGCAGGTGGAGCGGGGCAGGCAGCAGGTGTGAGCAGCAGGTGAGACTGTGGCTCATGGGAACAGAGAATTTTCAGTAACCACCAGAGGCTCACCCCAATGACACTGACTGGCACCCCGCCTTGGTCTGGCGCCCCCACTCACCTGCTCCACCATCCTGCTGCAGCTGACACCCGCCATGCTCTGTGCTCTGCTGCCTGCTGCCAATGCCCTCCATGTTCTGCACGTGCCCCCTGGTGGTCAGTGCACGCCATAGTGACCAGTTGTTCGGTTGTTCTGCTGTTTGGTCTATCTGCATATTAGGCTTTTAGATTTTAGAGTGATTAGATTGTGCTCGCTTCAGCAGCACATATATTTAGAGTGATTAGGTTGTTTTGTTTTCCTCCCCCTGGTTTACTTAAAAACATTTTTTTCTTTAATATATTGTATTGGTTTCAGAGAGGAAGAGACAGGGAGAGAGAGATAAAAACATAATGATGAGAGAGAATCATTGATTGGCTGCCTCCTGCAGGCCCTCCCATTGGGGATCCAGGGCACAACTCAAGTATGTGCCCTTGACCAGAATCGAACCCAGGACCCTTCAGCCTGCAGGCTGACACTCTATCCACTAAGCCAAACCGGCTAGGGCACCCTGGTTTACTTCTAATGGATGTGTGAGTCATTAACCCACTTTAAGACCCAAAAAACCAAAACAAAGCTAGACAGAACCTTAGGGCAGCTTTTTATGATTTTTTGAAATGTAAACACACACACACACACACACACACACACACACACACACCCCTGTTCTTTTCCATCCACATGGTGCCAGTGGCTGAGGCAGAGGTAGCTGCAGGTGGCAGCCAGGCTTCCGTGGGGCAGTCCCTCAGACCACGGGGGTGACACATTCCCCGAGGAGCGTGAGGCGTGGGTGGGGGCGTGGGTGGTGCCGCCGCTCAGCCTGCCGTGGCTGACCCACTTGTTCGCACCAGCCCAACCACACGTCTCTGTCGGGGAAAACCAGCTTTTACACCTTACCCAGCATTCCTCCTACGATTTCAAATGTAAGACGACAAAATACTGCCCATGATGGATGCAGGTGTCCACGCCTGTCCCCGGCCGGTACGGGAGGTGTTCATTGCGATGGTTATAGGAGGGCCTGAAAAGCGATAAATAGCACGTTTATGCTGTTCGGCCATCTGTGTATTCCAAATGAACCCATCTCCAGTGTCTGGGCTTGCTTTGACCAGGTGTTCACACGGTCCTCACCTTGGAGATTAAAGTGGATGCGCATGTCCGGGGTTACGTTGGAGAGAAGGTCAAGTTGAAATGCATTTTCAAGTCGACGTCATCTGTCACTGACAAGCTCACCATAGACTGGACCTACCGGCCCCCCAGCAGCAGCCGCACCGAGTCAGTAAGTGTGCGGGGAACAGCGGTCCTCGCCTGTCCTGTGCTCCGCAGGGGGACCTGTCATTCCTGTCCAGGCGCCCTCCGCGTCCCTCTCGGACTGGAGGATGTGTCCCCGCCTGACCTTCCCGGAGTCACGCGAGGCCGTTGGCTCTTCCTGCGAGAGCCCTGCAAACAGGCGATGGAAAAAGCTTGTCCGGTGGAGAGGAAATGTACGCAGTGGTCCCGCCAGGACTGGCGGGTGGAAAGGTGCTCTGGGCCTGCCGCGGGCACCCTGCTCTGCCAGCTGCTCACTTCCGCCGCCCAGGTGGCCAGTGGGCGTGTTGCTCTGAGCCGTGCTCTGTGGATTCAGCGGGCCGCGCCCGTCTGTAAACCTCAGCACTGATTTCCACAGTTCCTTTGATGACTGACAGGTGCTGTCGGTGACAGATGGTCTGTCCATAGTAGAAGCAATATCTTTGTGTCACACATATAAACTGCATTTATGGCTCAGGTCCCATGTGGATGTCTATTTGAAGGTGGCAGTGCTTAAAAAGCCCCTTCTCTTGCCCTGGCTGGTTTGGCTCAGTGGATAGAGCATCGGCCCTTGGACTGAAGGGTCCCAGGTTCGATTCCTGTCAAAGGCACGTACCTCGGTTAAAGACTCCTGGCCTGAGCCCTGGTCGGGGCATGTGCAGGAAGCAACCAATCGATGTGTTTCTCACAACGATGTTTTCCTTTCTCTCCCACTCTCTCTAAAACATCAAAGGAAAAAATCCTCCGGTGAGGATTAACAACAAACAAACAAACAAAACCCCTTTCTTGTATGTTTCCAGCAGTATCCTGAGCTCAGGATAGCTGCTGTCACGAGCGTGGATGTCACTGCTGTGTACAAGACCGTATTTCTGGAAGTCCCTTAACTGAACTTGGAATCGAGGCCACTTCCATCTCCAAGTGCACAACAGGCCTTGCTTGGACATAAGGAGTTTCAGACCCTTTCTTTTATGATCATCAGCAGCAAGCACTCTTTTTTTTAAAATCCTCACCCAAGGGCATTTTTCTAGAAAGTGTAAGAGAGGGAGGGACAGAGAAAGTTTTCATTGGGAAAACTTTCCGTTTGTTTTTAACGTGCAGCTTTGCATTGTGTGTTAGGAGTCCTTGTTGAATGCCAGGAGCTCGGGGTGAGGGAAACCAGGCTGTGTTCGTGGTCCTGTAGACTTACAGGAGCTCCCTGTGTTTGAGTGGTTGGAAACTGTGGCTGGCCTTGTTTCGCTCTGCCCCCGGGGCCAAAAGTAGGACAGGAGAAGCCAGGGGGCTTTCTTGGGTCAGAAACCCCAGATGCTGACAGCACGCGGTTCTCGGTGGCGCTTCCTGTGAGAGGGTCAGGAAGCCGTTCGCCCGCGCGGAGTCCTGGCCTTTAAAGGCACACGAAGCGGTGCTGCCAGAATGTGGCCGGTCAGGGTCCTGGCGGACTAACAGGATTTGCACCTCAGCTGAACTTGGAATTGAGGTCACATCCATCTCCAAGTGCACAGCAGGCCTTGCTTGGTCAGTAAGGAGTTTCAGACCCTTTCTTTTATGTTAATGCTGATCATCACAGCAAGAATTTTTTAAAAAAAATCCTGACCCAAGGATATTTTTCTAGAAAGTGGAAGAGAGGGAAGGTCAAAGAGAAATATTGAAACACATTGATTGGTTGCCTCCTGCATGATTGGTTGCCTCCCTCGTGCGTCCTGACCAGGACCTGGGCTGGGGAGGAGCCTGCAACCGAGATTCGTGACCTTGCCAGGGATAGAACCTGGGAGCCTTTGTCCGCAGGCCGACACTCTGTCCACTGAGCCACACCAGCCAGGGCAGCAGTAGGCGTTCTCTACGTCCCTTTGTGGAACACAGAGCACACATGCTCTTGTTCATTGATGTCTGTATTTCCCACTGACTGAGGCTCCATGAGAGAGGGCCTGTGCTCTGAGGCTCCCATCGTCTCCTTTGGCGCAGCACACAGTAGGCGTGCAGTACGTAGTTGTTGGATGAATGCATGAACAAGTGAACCCATCAGTGATTCAGCGTCCGCTTTGGGAAGTTGCTCTTCGCAGTTGGGCAGTGCTTCCAAAGTGGGGAGGTGCTGAGTAAGCAGAGAAAGGGGACAGCCGGACTCCGCATGAGACGATAGTGTGGTGCTTCTGCTGGGAAGCGTCCGGTCACCCGAGCAGCGGTGCTGTCACTCAGCACATTTCTTATTTCCCTCTGCCCCCTGGCCACGCGTAGGACTGAGTGCTGATCATGCATCAACCGCCAAGACAGGTAACCTGAGAGAGGCTTGGCTGTAGTATACCCTCCTGGTGATTTTGAAAATATACGAATATCCCCCCTTTTCACTTTCTAGCCATGTGCCTTTGATAATTCACTTAGTTGTTTGTTTGTTTTTTCTTAGCCTGTTTCCCTTTCTGTAAATCTGGGAGAATTACTAGCATACTTGCCCCAAATGTAGTTGTAATGAGGCTCAAATGAACAAATGCATAGGAATCACTTGTAAACCCTACAGGGTTATAGGAATACTGGAGGCCCAGTGCATGAATTTGTGCAGGGGTGGGGTCTGGCCTGCCCACCCCCATCGGGCAGATGGGGCCCGGGCTAAGGGGGGTGGGTTGCAGGCCGCTGGCCGGCCCCACCTCCTGGTCGAAATCTTGGCTGAGGGGACAGTTTGCTTGTTAGGCTTTTATTACCTAGGATTAGATGCTACTTTGGCCTGGGGTTTCTCACCTTTGGCACTACTGCCATTCTGAGCTGGAGGATTTTTTGCGGTGGGGGCTGTGCTATGCATCATAGGATTTTATTTTATTTTTGTTTTTAACTATATTTTTTATTGATTTCAGAGAGGAAGGGAGAGGGAGAAAGAGATAGGAACATCAATGATGAGAGAGAATCATTGATCGGCTGCCTCCAGCACACCCCTCACTGGGGATCGAGCCTGCAATCGGGTGTGTGTCCTGACTGGAATCGAACAGTGATCTGGTTCATAGGTTGACGCTCAAGCACTGAGCCATTGCAGGATTTTAGTAAGATCCTGGCCTCCATCCACTGGGTGCCGGCAGCTCCCCCTGGTAACAAGCAGAACTGTCTCCAGACGCTGCCCGGTGATCCCCACGGAGAGCCCCTGCCTCAGGCCGGGAGAAAGCCGCAGAAGAGGCTGCAGAGGCAGGCCTGCCTCTGTGCTCCTTGGCTGCCTTGGACCTGCAGGAGGGAAGCAAACCAAGAATAAACAGTGCTCCCCGGGGAGGACCCCTGACACAGGGCATTTTGCTTTAGACTACTAAGCTTGCCACTGTTCTGGGTTTTCCGAATTAACTGCTTCTCTCCTGTGCTGCTTTCTTAGATTTTCCACTACCAGTCCTTCCAGTACCCCAGCACCGCAGGCACGTTTCGCGATCGGATCTCCTGGGTCGGAGACGTGTACAAAGGGGACGCGTCCATAAGCATAAGCAACCCCACCACCAGGGACAACGGGACCTTCAGCTGCGCCGTGAAGAACCCCCCAGACGTGCACCATAACATTCCCCTGACGGAGCTCACAGTCACAGAGCGGGGTGAGCCTCCAGCCTGAGGGCTCACAGTCAGAGAGGGTGATCCCCCAGCCCTGAGGGCTCTCAGTCAGAGAGGGTGATCCTCCTCCAGCCCTGACAGAGCTCACAGTCACAGAGCGGGGTGAGCTTCCAGCCCTGAGGGCTCTTAGTCAGAGAGGGTGATCCCCCAGCCCTGAGGGCTCACAGTCAGAGAGGGTGATCTTCCCCCAGCCCTGAGGGCTCACAGTCAGAGAGGGCGAGCCTCCTCCAGCCCTGAGGGCTCACAGTCAGAGAGGGTGATCCTCCAGCCCTGAGGGCTCTCAGTCAGAGAGGGTGATCCTCCTCCAGCCCTGAGGGCTCACAGTCAGAGAGGGTGATCCTCCAGCCCTGAGGGCTCACAGACAGAGAGGGTGATCCTCCAGCCCTGAGTGCTCTCAGTCAGAGAGGGTGATCCTCCAGCCCTGAGGGCTCTCAGTCAGAGAGGGTGATCCTCCTCCAGCCCTGAGGGCTCTCAGTCACAGAGGGTGATCCCCCAGCCCTGAGGGCTCTCAGTCACAGAGGGTGATCCCCCTCCAGCCCTGAGGGCTCACAGTCAGAGAGGGTGATCCTCCTCCAGCCCTGAGGGCTCACAGTCAGAAAGGGGTGTTTCTCCAGCCCCTGAGGTCATGGGACTCTCACTCTTGGGAGAGACCTGTGACAGCAAAGCTGCCTGTTTGCAAGCCAATTGAATTGTCGATTAGGATGCAATTTTAAATCTTTTTTCTGCAAACTGACGTTTTTCTTTTCTTTTTTCCCCCCTTTATTCATTAATCCTCACCCAAGGTTTTTTCCCCATTGATTTTAGAGAGTGGAAGGGAAGGAGGGAGAGAGTCACAGAGAAGGAAACATTGATGTGAGAGAGACACATGGATTGGTTGAATCCAGCCTGCAGCCAAGGCTTGTGCCCTTGACTGGAATTGAACCCGGGACCCTTGAGTCTGAGGGCCGATGCTGTATCCACTGAGCCAAACTGGCAGGACCAAGCTGAAGTTTTTCTTCAAACATTGTCATAGTTTCTCCTTTATTGTGTTTAGACTCAGGTGACCAGGGGTCTTGTGGACAAGGCGGGACAAATCCTCACAGAAACGGAGGGTTGTTGTCTCTGTGATGGAAGCCATCTGGTTTCCCTCATGTGCCCTCACCCTCAGTGATGAGACAGTGTGCTTGCCTGGGTCATGAGGGTCCCTCCCCCAGTGATGGAGGGTCCCCCCGTTTGGTGATGGAGGGTCCCTCTGCTCTGTGATGGAGGACCTCCCAGCATGTGCTGTGCTATGAAGACCAGCAGTGGCCTTCGGTGGCCGCAGAGCAGGTGAGGGACTCACCTTTCCATCCTCCTTCCTGCTGGGCCTGGCGAGGGGCCCTACCAGTCCTTGGTTGGATCAGACCCACAGACTTGGAGAGACAGGACCACATTGTTTTTTTAAAGACCATCACCCATAAATTTCCAAGACAGGTGAGCACATCCCTCTGGCGGAGGAGAAACGGGTACGTTTCCAGAAGACAGTCGGCAGTGTAACGGGTCTTGAAGGTGTGCACTCTTTCACCCAGAATTCCAGTTTAAAAAGTTATCTTAAATAGAGCACAGCATGAAGGTTTCTGGACAAGGACGATCATGATGTAATTCATAGCTTCGGAGAATGGGGGTGACCTGAATGCTCAGCACCCGAGGACCGAGTCCTTAAACTACGCGGAGTGACAGACTGCTGCGCAGCCATTGAAAAGGTCTCGCCCGCCGGTGTGGCTCAGCAGGTGAACGCCGACCTAGAAACCAAGAGGTCTGGTGACCGATTCCTGGTCAGGGCACATGCCGGCTGCGGGCACAGTCCCAGTGCAGGAGCAGCCCATCGATGTTTCTCTCTCTCTCCCTTCCTCTATCTCTAAAGATCAATAAAAATATTTTAAACAGGGTCGAATCTGGAAGGAACCTTTAATGACATGGAAAGTACTTATGTAGTGAGTAAATAGGCGTGATATGTAAAACATGACTCACACTTTTAAAAACACACACCGCCCTCCCTGTCGCAGACCCCAGTCACGTGCTTAGAAAGAAGATGGAGCGGGCAGGTGACAAAGTGTTACTCTAGGTAGTAGGATTCGGGTCAGTTTTTCTCCTTTCTGCGTGTTTAGTTCTTACCTTTGTGTATGTTGAATCTATTCCTTTTGTAACAAGAAGAGACGAGCGTGCAAAAGCGAGACCCATCTCCTGTCCAAGAAACATCTCTGCAGGGGCCTCTCTCCTCCCTCCCCCAGGCTTCGGCACCATGCTGTCCTCCGTGTCCCTGCTTTCCATCCTGGTCTTCATCCCCTCGGCAGTGGTGGTGGTGCTGCTGCTGGTGAGGATGGCGAGGAAGTCTGCGGGGCTGAGGAAGAGGGGCAGGTCTGGCTACAAGAAGTCCTCCATCGAGGTTTCCGATGAGTAAGTACAGCCGGAGCCCCAAGCCCTGAATCCTAACCCCCTCAGACCCCTGCCCTGTGGGTGGTGCCCGCCCTGCCCTGTGGGTGGTGCCTGCCCCTGCATCCGTGCTTTTCTTACTTCCAGGCTGAGCTTAGTTCTGCTGGTGAAATTTTCTTTTTTTCTTTTTAAATATATTTTTAATTGTTGGTAGTATTACAGATAGCTCCCATTTCTCGCCTTCCCTCTCCTCCCTCCCCACCCCCCGGTCTTCACCACCCTATGGCCCATGTCCATGGGCTACAGGCCGTGCATTACGTATGTAAGTTCTTTGTTTATCTCTCTCTCCCCGCCCACACGGAGGTACGGCTGCCTGTCCTGCCCCGGCTTCGGTCTCATTTGGTTGGTCAGTGCCTTTGTTCATTAGGTTTCCAAGTAAGTGAGACCACGTGATGTTTGTCTTCGTGGTTTGGCTTATGAAATCTCCTCTTCTTCTTTTTTTATTGTTTACAGTATTACACATAGTAGTACATATGTCTCTTCCCCCCATTTACCTTCCCCCAGCCTCCTCCATCCCCCGGGACATGCCCTCACCCCTCCACACCCCAGTGTCTTGCATCCATTGGTTATGCTTATATGCATGCATACAAGTCCTTTGGTAGATCTTTACCCCCTCCCCAACACTCCCCAGCCTTCCCGCTGTAATTTGACAGTCTGTTCCATGTTTCTCTGTCTCTGTATCTATCTTTTTGTTCACTAGGTTATAATGTTCTTTATTATCCATAAATGAGTGAGATCATGTGGTATCTTTCTTTCATTGCCTGGCTTATTTCACTTAGCATAATGCTCTCCAGTTCCATTCATGCTGCTGAAATGGTAAGGATTCCTTCTTTTTTATAGCAACGTAGTATTCCATTGTGTAGATGTACCATAGTTTTCTAATCCACTCATCTGCTGATGGGCATTTAGGCTGCTTCCAAATCTTAGCTATGGTGAATTGTGCTGCTATGAACATAGGGGTGCATATATCCTTTCTGATTGGTATTTCTGTTTTCTTGGGATATATTCCTGGAAATGGGATTACTGGATCAAATGGGAGTTCCATTTTTAACTTTTTGAGGAAATACCATACTGTTCTCCACAGTGGCTGCACCAGTCTGCATTCCCACCAGCAGTGCACGAGGGTTCCTTTTTCTCAGCATCCTGCCAGCACTTGTCGTTTGTTGATTTGTTAATGATAGTAATTCTGACAGGTGTGTTGGTTGTTTTGATTTGCATCTCTTGGATGATAAGTGACTTTGAGCACATTTTCATATGTTTCTGGGCCTTCTGAATGTCCTCTTTTGAGAAGTGTCTACTTAGGTCCTTTGCCCATTTTTTTATTGAGTTGTTTATTTTCCTTTTGTTCTATGAATTCTCTGTAAATTTTGGAGATTAAACCCTTATTGAAGATAACATTGGCAAATATGTTCTTCCATGCAGTGGGCTTTCTTATTATTTTGTTGATGGTTTCTTTTGCTGTGCAGAAGCTTTTTATTTTGAGGTAGTCCCATTTGTTTATTTTTTCCTTAGTCTCTCTTGCCCTAGGATCTGTGTCTATAAAGATATTGCTACAACATATGTCTGCAATTTTGCTGCTTATGGAGTCTTGTAGGATTTTTATGGTTTCCCATCTTATGTTCAAGTTCTTTAGCCATTTTGAGTTTATTTTTGTGTATGGTGTAAGTTGGTGATCTAATTTCATTTTTTTCTTTTTGCATGTATCTGACTAGATTTCCCAGCACCATTTATTAAATAGGTTGTTTTGACTCCATTGTATGCTATTGCCTCTTTTATCAAATATTAATTAAGTATAATAGCTTGGGTCCATTTCTGGGTCCTCTATTCTGTTCCATTCTTCTATATGTCTGTTCTTGTGCCAGTACCAGGCATTTTTGAGAACAACCTCTGTGCCATTGGGTTGTGACCCACAGGTTGAGAACTGCTAGCAGGATCACCTAAGACCATTGGAAAACACAGATATTTACATTACAGTTCATTAACAGTAGCAAAATTAAAGTTATGAAGTAGCAATGAAAATAATTTTATAGTTGGGGGTCACCACAACATAAGGAACTGTATTAAAGGGTTGTGGCATCAGAAAGGTTGAGAACCACTGCCTTAGGCTCTCCTCCTGTTTTTTTAAGTCTTTTTACTAGATCTGCTTTGCTTGGGTATTTTTTTCTACCTTGTCTTCTAGTTTACTGATGTGATCCTCTGCTTCTTCAAGTTTACTGTTGATGCTTTCTATTGAGTTCTTTATAGCAGTGATGCCATTTTTCATTTCCTCTTGCTTCTTCTCCATTTCCTCTTGGTTCTTATACATATTGTTGAATTTGTCTTCCATTCTTTTCATCCACCTTATGACAATTTCTCTGAATTCTTTCTCTGACATATTGCTTGCCTCCATTTTGTTTACTTTCTTTTCTGATAACACCTCCTTTTCTTTCATATGTGGGCTGTTTCTTTGTCTCTCTATGATTTCTCTTCTCTGATTATCTGGTTATGTAGTTCTCTCTCTCTCTCTCCTTTTCCTCGGTGAAATCTGACTTTTTTGTGAGAGGGTGCAGAGTGCATCCGAGTCTGCATATTCATGCTGCTTGAGGTCCGGTGTTCCTGGGTTCACAGCTGTTCCCTGCCACTCTCTCTGAAATCCTTGAAGAGGCAGAGCAGTACTGGTCAGGAGGTTGAAAGTGAAACCTAGGGTGTGGATTTGGGGAAAGATGGGGGCTTGATAACAGGTACTAGCTTCCTGCTCTGGAAATCAGATGACACAATCCTTTGGTTCTGAACATAAATTCTGAAGCAGAGGCCTCATTCCTTCAAAATCAGTGGAATTTCCACAGCCACTTTGTTTCCTGCCATTCGTCATTCACTCTGCATTCCAGCCACAGCGAGCTTCTTCTCTTCTCTCACAAGCTGTACTCAGACACACTCTGTCTCCCCTGGGGTCCCCGCTTCTTTCTCTCTTTTGCCGGGAATACTCTTCCTATTCTCTGAGACCCAGTGGAGATGTCCCTTCTCCTGAGTTTCCTGAGTCTCACAGGGAGAAGTGGCCATTCCCTCCTCTGCTGCTGCAGCAGAGACCTTAGCCTCATTCACACCTCGATCGCCTTGTATGAGGGCGTGCTTGCTATGGTTCAGCAGGCCTTGTCCCCAGGAGATGGGACACACCCAGGGGCTGTGCTTTATCATGTCTTCATCCCCCGCCAGCATGAGGCCTCAGGGATGCCTGGTGCTCAGTGCATTTCTAAAGAAGTGGCTGTGACCAACTCCCATTTATTGAGTACTTACTTGTGCCAGCCACTGTGGTATGTGTTTGATGTGTGTTTATTTACTCCTAACTACTATGCTTGAAGCATAGATGTAATATCTGCATTTTATTTATTTATTTTTTAAAGCCAATATTTTTTTGAATTACATCTTTTTTTTTTTATTGCTTTCAGAAAGGAAGGGGGAGAGAGAGAGCGAGAGCGAGAGCGAGAGCGAGAGAGAGAGAGAGAGAGAGAGAGAGAGCAAAGCATCAATGATGAGAGAGAATCATGGATCAGCTGCCTCCTGCACACCCCACACTGGGGACAGAGCCCACAATGCAGGCATGTGCCCTGACGAGGAATCGAACAATGACCTTCTGGTTCATAGGTCGATGCTCAATCCCTGAGCCACACTGGCCGGGCTAACATCTGCATTTTATAGATGAGGAAACAGTCCCGGAGCTGAAGTAACCTGCCCAGTCACCCTGCCGATAGGTGGCAGAGCTGGCTCTGACAGCCGAGCTGTCCCTCAGGGCCTGTGCTGTGCCTGCTGTGCCGAACAGAGCCAGTGATGGTTTTGGGTGGGGTGTCCTGTTTTGCAGCACGGACCAAGAGGAGGAGGACTGCATGGCAAGGCTCTGCGTCCGCTGTGCCGAGTGCTTGGTAAGCCACCCCCTTCTTCTGTGCCCTGTTCCTGGGTCGCTTCTTGGCTCATTTATGGGGACCCTTTGCCTTCGGTGACGGCAGAGGATCATGCCAGGAGGTCCAGGGCATGGTGGCAACCGAGGTCTGTTAGGGTTCAGGGGGCTCCCTCAGCTCTAACCGTTGTTTTTTGTTTTCTGTCTCCTGGACACAGAGTGGTGGCTTTGGACTGGGGTAGGGACTCTGTGGAGCAGTCTCTGCTGGGTGACAGGGGACCTGCTGGTGGGGAGGGGGTGTCCTCTGCCCTGTGGTCACGCTAGGAGACTTCAACCAGCTGCATCCAGAGCCCTTAATCAAACTTTTCTGCAGACCCTTGGGTTTTTCCTTCAATACATGGCTTTCACTGCATCTTTTAAAAAAATGTATTTTTATTGATTTCAGAGAGGAAGGGAGAGGGAGAGAGAGAAACATCAGTGATGAGAGAGAATTATTGATTTGCTGCCTTCAGCATGCCCCACACTGGGGATTGAGCCCACAATCCAGGCATGTTCCCTGACCGGGAATTGAACTGTGATGCTTAGCCAGTGAACCATGCCGGCCAGGCATTGCATCTTTAAAATATTGCAAATAAGTCTGAGGAATCATCTGACATCTTGCTGTTTCGATAGCTGGGCAACTTAGATCTTATTTATCAGCCTGCGAAACGTCCTTTTTAAAGAAACATAGATACTACCCAAACATTTTCTGATCTCCTTGCTTTAACTGTTGTGGCTCACTGAATCAAAGCAGTTGAATTTGATACAAGTTCAATGTCATTTCCTTCAAGAATCAACTAATCTTTCTGGGCTTGAGATACTGAGCAAACAACGCCTGACCCCCTTTGAACCCTGTGGGTGTATTTTTCCCCCAAGAAACTTCTGATTTCAACAAAAGAACCATCTTCCTGAAAAATGACATTGATGGGGCAGTGCATGTGCACAGCCCTCATCTTGTCAGGGACGCCATGTGACCCCTCCATTACATCTGTACGTGACTGTGGACGGTGCAAACGCTGGCTCCTCTCTGCTTCCCACCACACGTCAACCCGGA